ATTATCATTAATACAATGCATGAACTGACATTACGCTGCTTTTACTGCATTTGTTTATTTATGTGGTCATAAAAATTACATGAAATTTTCGACATGATTGTAGCATAGAGGTAACTCTAAGACCACTGGGTCCCGAAGAAAATCATTATTATTTTTGGCTCACTCAGTACCAGAACAACGGTCCCAAGCAGTCCCAAGCTATTTCACTCACCCCTGCATGCTCTGCATGAATCCACACACCCCTGATGTTATCTGTCAAACTTTCATAGCGAATCAAAACAAACATAGTGTAGTAATAGAATTTCAACTAGAATAGGGTACGTTAATCGTTTGCTTGGGACCAATAGGCTACTAAAGTGGTGAGCCAATTTAAAATCGTTAGTTTCGTATTGATTGTTGATTGTAGTGCATCCACTTTGATGTGATATCAAAATTATTTTTTTGCAGTGTAGATATTCTGAATAAACAATACAGATGCAATGAAAAATTAAAAAGTTTCAGAAAAATTATGATCTTTGTTTTATAAGTTGAACAGCCCTAGTGCCTAGAATTAAATATTCACATTTTATTATAACACGACTCAATGATGTAGCCCAAATCCCACTATCCTGAATATCATTACACTGAATGACCTGTTTCGCTGAATGCAATTATTATGAACGTATTAATACCCCGAGTTTTCAAAGGCAATCTTGCCCCAGGTATTTCTCGCACTTCCATTGGGAGAATCGATGCAAAATTCGGAGTGATTTGACATTTGGGCGTAATTACATTTGTAAACAAACACTTCAATCTTCGATTTTTTGCGAATAAAACCTCAATATCGAAAACAAATAACACGACGAAAACAAAACACCGATGGAGCAACAGGTAAAGTTCAAAACGCATCGAAACGATAACTTGCATAGATCCAAACTGTCGATGGCATGATCAACACTGAGAGGTAGAGCTGTTGCTGTCGGTTGCGGTTTTATGTTAAATGATTAATGTTGAATCAGACTATTTTCTACCTTTTGAACATTATACCAGAAGGCAAGACCATGTGGTTGAGAGGTATGTTGCAAAAATGCTGAAAAACATCTACTGCTTACAGGTGGGAATCGAACCCACACCTCTCAGTACGCTAGACGGGCGGTCTACCACTACGCTACCCTCATCAAGCTTACGTAACGGCAATGTGATAGAGACGGTTCAACCATAGAGGTAACTCTAAGACCAGAAGGTCCCGAAGAAACGGTCCCAAGCTAATCGATTCACGCCTCGAAACATAGGAAAATCCACGAGTCCCTCAATTTATCTGTCAAACTTTCAATGCGTATCAAAACAAACATAGTGTTGTGCTAGAATTTTGACTGGAATGGAGTACTCTAATCGATTTGCTTGGGACCAATGAGCTAGTCAAGTAGTGAGCCAATTTAAAATCGTTAGTTTCTACCGGTTGGTTCAACTCCCTTAGTATGCGGGAAATGACTCACCATTCTCGCATCACACTCAACCACATGATCTAAAGGGTGATACGGTCAAAATTTGGTCAATATCAACTTGACGTATTTCTTTCAATTTTGCATTTAAAAAACCTGAACACCCCTCATTTTGAAGGTGTGTGTGTGTAGAATGTTGCTCCTATTTTGATTTTGGAATTCACTCTTCAGTTGTCAAAATGCCGTCCAAGCAAGAAGAGCAGCGTATCAAAATTTTGCTCGCGCATCGCGAAAATCCGAGCTACACACAAAAAATTATCGTTAGTACAACTGAAAAAACCATTGGTAGAATTAAAAGTTTTCGTTGGTTCTTTTTGGTAGAAAGTCTTTAGCTTTCAAAACAAAAGTCAGCTAACTGTCAATTCAAAAGTTGCGTGCATGCTACTTTTAAAAGTTGAAACTTTCAAAACGAATTGTAGTTCTGTCAAATGAAAAGCATGATAGTGTTATAACTAAAAGTGGATTATTTTTGTATTGAATCAAACTTTTGTCATGAAAGTTTGGTATAGTTGAAATAACATGTGCCGTTTTGAATCTATAACATAAGTATTTTCAATTTAAATTCAAGCATTTTCAACATTACAATATCAATTTTGATTTTATTTTTTTATAAGTATTATTTCTATTAATTATTTTTTTATGAATAAAAAAAATAACCTCAAATATATTTATTAATATCCACAAGAATATACGTATTGTAAAATATAACAAATATTATCCACAGGCTCTCAGCGAGTATAAAATCGTTGTCATTGTTCTGCTTTATCACAAAAGTTGGATGACCGACGAGGTTGGATGGAATCCGGAACCCAGATGGATTTTTTCCGCCGATTATTGATTCGGACCTATTGATGACAACGGTAGATTTCATCGTCTGGAAATAAAATAAAGTTTACTTGATGCAATAATATTGATAATTAAATACTTACAATTTTAAATGTTGATGTCACCGCGTGCGAACTACATATCCGGCAAAACCAGCAATCCGGCAAGTAAGAATATTGCCTTGAATATCTAACGAATTTAATTTATGCTTCTAGTTTCGTTCCACACAAAGAACATGATTTGCAAATTTTGACGTCAAGGTTAAAATTAGCGGCAAATCTATGTCCAGTGCTGCCAAAAACGTTGCTATGACAAGGTGTTTTTGACAGTTAAACAGTTTTCATTTTAAAAATATGCACTTTTAAAAATACAAGTTGAAAATGAAAAATAAACTTTCAAAACAAATCAAATACTTTCATTTTGAGAATTTAAGTGCTTAAAACTATCAAAGTCGCGAAACTTTTATTTTGACAATGTATGGTTTTTATTGATACAATTTTTGTTTTTTGTGTGTACTCGCACGCAAAGTTGGCAAAATCGCTAAAAGTTGCCAAATCAACCGTTACAAATGTAATTAAAGTGTTTGGAGAACGTTTGTCGACAGCCAGGAAGTCTGGATCGGGGGGAAATCGAAAACCGGAAGCCGCTGAGACGACAAAGAGAGTTGCCGGTAGTTTCAAACGAAACCCTAACCTCTCTCTCCGAGATGCCGCAAATAAGCTGGGTGTATCGTCTACAACCGTGCATCGAGCCAAAAAACGAGCCGGACTATCGACTTACAAGAAGGTAGTGACTCCAAATCGCGATGATAAACAAAATACGACGGCCAAAGCGCGATCCCGGAGGCTGTACACGACGATGCTGACGAAGTTTGACTGCGTGGTAATGGACGACGAAACCTACGTCAAAGCCGACTACAAGCAGCTTCCGGGACAGGAGTTTTATACGGCAAAAGGACGGGGAAAGGTAGCAGATGTTTTCAAGCACATGAAACTGTCAAAGTTCGCAAAGAAATATCTGGTTTGGCAAGCCATCTGTACCTGTGGCTTGAAAAGCAGCATTTTCATAGCTTCCGGGACTGTCAACCAAGAAATTTACGTGAAAGAGTGTTTGAATAAACGTCTGCTGCCTTTCCTGAAGAAACATGGTTGTTCCGTACTGTTTTGGCCGGATTTGGCATCTTGCCATTACGGTAAAAAGGCCATGGAGTGGTACGCCGCCAACAACGTGCAGGTGGTTCCCAAGGACAAGAACCCTCCCAACACGCCAGAGCTCCGCCCAATTGAGAAATACTGGGCTATTGTCAAGCGGAACCTAAAGAAGACCAAAAAAACTGCTAAGGGCGAACAGCAGTTCAAGGCAAACTGGCTTTCTGCGGCGAAGAAGGTGGACAAGGTGGCTGTACAAAATCTGATGGCAGGGGTCAAGCGTAAGGCCCGGCAATTCGGATTTGGAAAAGCGGAAGCCTAACTGAATATTTTTCCTGAATTTTATACTAATTGAACTTGAAAAAGAAATTTAATTTGATTTTTTAAATAAACGATTTCACCGATTTACACGCGTTTTCCCTTGACCAAATTTTGACCGTATCACCCTTTATGTTGTCTACGTGTGATTGCTGGCAAATTTTTCCCAAAACACAAATACAAGATTTTCAGCGAAAGCGCCTCGGTGCAGAGCAAGATAAAAGTTTGGTTTGACGTCTGTCGGCCGTCAATCTTGATTATCTGCGACGCTGATAACGTTTGGCTTTCCAAAAATGTGTGCACGATGACATTAATATCTCTCCTTTTTTGCTGCATAAACAAAATAATGACGAAACTTGTACAAAAAATGTCTGATTAACAGGGTTACGCTAAAAAAACTACTTTGGCAACCGGAGGTACTATTAAAAGCCGCTCAAGCATGCTGAGCATGCTTATGCTCACTTTAGTTCTGCATGACAATTTATAATAGAGAGTTTGCGTATTCGATAACGACCCTGCTATAAGCCAGTTAACCGTCAGAAAATTGTGTCAAACAAGTCTTGTAATTTAATGGTCCCTAGCCCACGTCCAGCCTGTTTAAAAATGGTAGTCCTTAACCTCGAGTACGTAGCAAGAATTCGGTCCCTGTTCCACTAACTTTAGTCAATGATTAGTTAGGCTCCGCAAAGCTAACGCAATTAAGTCGTGACAAATAAATGGACTTAAAAAACAAATGCAATGGTAGATATTTGGAAATGATCAAGTGAGCTGTTTTGCATGGACAACTACAGCTTAACAGCTCAATATCAACTCAACTATCGAATGTTGGTTGAAGAACTACTAGGCAATTTTAATCGTTGTAATTTTTGATATATCGATAACGGGCGAGTCTTCTCAGGGGAGCATTCACCTCTTCGGCATTCCAAAAGCTTATGAAGCCTAACATAATTCCTGATTTGATTTAAGCAAAGATTAATGCTCATGCTGATAGTGATTTTAATTCATGATTCATGTTCCTATCGATGAATCCAATTGAGTCGAACAACTGAGCAAATGATTATATACTTTGATAAGCTTCGATTTTTTTTTATTGCACTCTTAGTGGGCATACTTGACCGAATCAATGTAGACTTTATCTGCCACAGTAAATTATTGCGGGAATTTGTCAAGATTACTTCATAGGTGGTATAGATTAAATACTTAGGCATGATTTAGTATAGTAAGTTAAATAATAATAATAAAAATATTAATATCAATGAGACTCCACCCGGTGAGTTCCAGCCGGTTATGTTCCAGTATTGCAGAGATGAGACGTGCAAAGCTCACAGTGATCATCAGAACTTCCAACAACACCGTTGCAGGTTTCTTCTGGGCTCGGACCTAGACGGGTGCATCCACGGCGCACGAGTTGACGATCGTTCACTGAATTTGAGATGTTTGTCGTTAATTTAATTGATCAAAATTAAAAATGGAACTAGCGTTGTCACGCTCTAAGGGGGGAGGCGGGTTAATGTTTCCTCAATTTAGCGTGACATAATAACTGGATATTAGCCCCTTGCTTACCGGTAGATTTCGTCATCACACAGGCATAACCACGATCCGTATCCGTGGCTGGTGCCTCTGAGTCCTCCAAGTGTACCTGTCTAGGGGGCCACAATGTGGTCATGACACCACCTCCTACAGCAGGATTCAAGTGAGTTGCAGCATTCCAACCCATACCGGGCCAATATGTGGTCTCTAAGCCACCTCCAGGATTCGAAGTGACCCCATCATTTAACCATGGAGGAATCGTGTTGGGCCAGACCGGAGGTGTTAGGTGGGGATATCCCTGGTTTCCATCTGGGGGATACTGAGGATACTGAGGATACTGAGGATATTGAGGATACTGAGGATATTGAGGATACTGAGGATCCCATGGGTTTAGTGGATACTGTGGGAACCCTGTCGGAGGCGTCAAGAGCGGTGGATACAACGTATAGGCTTTTTCCGGTCCGACGAATCCGCAGGGATGAACTATCGGCTTAGACGAGGAACAATCATCGCATTGGTAGCAAAGCAGCTGGGCGTGAATTGCTGAAAATTGTACGAAGTTATGTATCACAAATTCCATGCTTTACCAGGATCAATTTGACCATTTACCTGTTGCTAGTACAGCAATGACAAGTGTAGTAGTAGCAAGTCTCATACCGATTCACTTCTCGGCAACTTTCCTTTATAATATTCTTTTCCAAATTTCCTGGACAGTTAGTGTATTAACGTTTGCGCCGTTTCTGCTTGGACTGATGGCAAATTGATCGGGCGGTCCGGTTTTATTCACTGACTTTGGCACATCATCTTATCAGAAAATCTGCTGACTTCTCGCAAACCGACCAATCGTCTGAGCGTGCATAGACAGCCGAAATTGGTTACTCAGTAGAAACTCGGTTCGTTTATCTGATACTGCAACATCTTCACTTGTGACTATAGTATTGGTACATGTACAATGATTCTGCACAATACAGATTACTTCATTGATGCTTGATCAATGTCAGTTTGGAATGCAGACGTGCGCGGTGGGTTATGATTGGGGAAAATGTAATTCCCCACATAACAACTATGTAAACCAGCTTATTAGTACTCTGGAATGTGGATGACCATGTGGCGATTACAGCAAAATTTACGGAAGGCGTATTATGAAATCGGTATCACTTACGATATTTTTTTTTAATGCAACCAGGACGTCACAATATCAGCTTCAATAGAAAAATTCGATGCGACGTAGAGACTACACGGAAACAAATCCAATCTCCGAAATGAGAAAAATTACTCATGATTTCATGAACATAGCGTATTTTCATGTTATGAAAATACATGAATAATATGCATGATAATATAACGCGAAACACCCGAAAAGGGCCTATCATTGTTGATCGATTCTGTTCCTCGATTTTCTCTTTCGTGAATAATCCGACTGTAAATGCATTTCTCATTGAGTATGTTGTTTCAGGTGCAAGCTAATATCATCTTCTGTCGAACTGTGCTGCGAGCTTAGAGAGAAATTCGTTTATGTTGCCGTGGTAAACCAAAGAGAAAGTCGATGAAGAGAATCGATCAACGAGGAGAGGCCCTTTTCAAATGTTACGCGAGAATCATGAGCTATTTTTGCGTAACGCAGCCTCCCGTAGATTCTGAAAATCATGAATCATCCGAGTTGAAATCATGAGCTCAATCCATGAATTGGACTTTTAGCTTTTAACCAGAACATTTAAAAATAAAAATAAAGCATCTGAACAGACTGAACAGAACCTTGCGATCATTAAACCCATACTTTAACCCAGTGCTGACGAAGGCATGGATCATTCTCATTTGAGAAACGTTATATATCATTCGATTGAGTGTAACCTACACACAAACGGAGGTCTGGTCGACATTCCGGCGAAAAAGCTAAGCCAACCCGACACCAATCTGACTTCTATTAAACCCCAACCCGATGTTGACCCGACATTGACCCGACATAAACTCCGAAATTGACCCGACATTAACACGACATTGGGTCGACATCGACCTTAAATTAGCCTTACATTGATCCGACATCGGGTCGACATGTCTGTTCGGGACCATTTTCCTAAATTTCTTCCATACTCCACTGTCGTATATCAAATGATACTGAGTGACTCAATTGACAGTGACAATGAGCTTCGAATGAGAAAGGGGCTCTTCAAAGTATGGTCATGTGAGAATTCGTTTACACAGAATTGATTGAATGGTTGTAGTGGTTCATCTTCAATCAAATGATATGAAAATTTACAGCACTGCTTTAACCACTAGACTGTCAGTACTTGTTTAAGATGGAAGACAAAAGGCGTATAAGAAATAACTATGTAGTGCGTTTTATGAACTCGGTATGCCAGGTACGTGTAACGTTTGGTAGCGGTCATGATTCCGCTGCATTATGAAATTATGAATTTCCAACACGAAATCATGAATAATTGTCATGATTTCATGGGATGGCAAGTTTTTTTCATTTCATGATTTGTTATTCATGATAATGGAAGCCGATTTGTTCCCGTGTACTAGCTTTCTTTTCTTTTGAAGTCGAACAGCTTCGCATCATTCTAGCACCTCAATGGGCGTCTAAAAAAATCAATTATTTATTTCTCTTCCTCCCGTCGCTTCATTCGTGCTTCGGTGATGCTGACGAGTGAAAGAGCGCTCGACTATAATCTGTTCGTCTTTCGCAAAACACATCAACCGAGTTTTCATGCCGTAGGTATATGACGGAAAAAGAAAATATATGTTTAAAGCCATTCTCACATGGAAACGCTAGAAGATTAAACGCAATATGTTTTCCATCCACCTATTTATCGTTTTTTTTTTAAGAAACGGGACATAACACATTCAATAATTTGAAAGATCAGGTGACAGAGTGTGGGTGAAAGGAATTGAAAACCAAATTGAGGTCTCGTTTCGACTCGAAAATCGAGGTTACTTTCATTGAAAGGGGTGAGCAAAACAAAGACGAGATTTTCGTTTCACGCTGATAGGCTACCTAAGTGTTATTGAAATGCTGCGTTAAACACGTTGCATGAAAGAAAACAAACTCGAGTTCGTGTTAGAGCTTCGGAAATGTAGAGCCCTGATTACAACTGTACATCAAGTTCGTCTTCTGAGCTATCTGATACTTAACTCAACCAATTGTTCAAGTTCGTCTAAGAAAACTATCAGCGGCTTTTCTCATTAACTTACGATCAACAAAAACGACACAATAGCTGTCAAAATGAATAGACAAGAACCACATCAATCTCCCAAAGGGCATTATCCAACACAGCATGTCGAGACTAGTAAGATATCAACGATGGAGTAATCAGTTCGCATCGTACTCTCTTGCCATGCGGATCTATTTGCTTTTTGCTGAAGGAAGTGTTACTACTATCTAAAGCTACAACAAATTCAAACAGCACTTTTCAGTGCTCAATAAACCTGTAAATGTTCTAACTTATTTGACTCTTATTCCTCTTAGATCACTGTTTGGACCCTACCCGAGGTAATCCTGCTTGGAAATCGACTTGGATAAACGTTTCACTGCTGCCATGGCGCCTAAGCGCAAAAGAAAAGAGCAATCTCTTGATCCCCCTTCAGATGAAATTAATTTGACCAATCAATTGGATTTGCTCAAGGATGATGAGAATGATCCATTATCCAGGAAAAATTCTAGAAAAACTATCTGACATGATTACTGATATGCTAAAAACTAACTCCATGTTTGATGCTATTTAAACTGGAGTAAAATTTGCGAACAAAATCGTCATGATTTTGAAATTCAGTATTGGATTTTAAATCATTAAATGTTTTGAATTGGAATGCTCGATCTCTTAAAGATAATGAAGACGAGGTATTTAACTTTTTGAGAGTTCATAAAGTGCATTTTGCCGTTATAACTGAAACCCCGAGTAGCACATTTCCATCACAATAAGTTGCAGCAACTTGTTTATGACTGATTTAAGTTGTATAGAAGTTGCTTCAACCGAGTTGTGACAAGCGTGCTACTAGGGACGTTCCTTAAACCTGACCACAAATTATCTCATTTATCGAAATGATCGTCTTGGTGGACCTTGTGGTGGTTCATAAACGAATCAAATCTTCATTTGAAACCAAAGTTTTTGAAACTTTGTGAGTTTCTGTTGAAACAAAATTTGGACAGCTTACGAGCTGCCTTTTTGCCATTCCAATGCGTAGGCCAGCAAAAGAATTTTCTCAAGGGTGACCTTCAGAAACATACCTGTCATAGGTCTAATTTCTTCATTATTGGTGATTTTAATGCAAAACACCGCTCATGGAACAATGCTCAAAGCAATTCCAATGGTAATATTCTGTTTAATGATTGTTCTGCAGGTTATTACACTATTCAATATCCAAACAGCCCAACATGCTATTCTTCAGCAAGAAATCCTTCAACTATTGATTTGGTCTTAACTGATTCATGTCAACTTTCTAGCCAACTGGTTACCCATGCTGACTTAGGTTCTGATCACCTTCCAGTAACTTTTGAAATATCCCAAGAAATATTTTCTAATCCCAACAGCTCAACTTTCAATTACCATAGAGCTGATTGGGAGCAATATCGAACATTTATGGAATATAACTTCGATCCAAATAAAGATGAAATTACTTATGCTCTTGAATCTCTGACTACTTCTATAGTTGAAGCAAGAGCTGCCTCAGTTCCAAAATGCGAGGTTAAATTCGATTCAATTATAATAGACGACGATCTTCAGCTCTTGATTCGTCTTAAAAATGTCCGTAGGAGACAATATCAAAGAAAAACCCGATCCTGCCATGAAAGTTATTTGGCGGGATTTGCAAAAACAAATTAAAAAGCAATTCTCTGCCCTATGGAACGCAATTTTTGAAAACAATGTTTCTAAATTAGACCCGAGTTCCAAACCCTTTGGTAAACTCACAACATAATTGAAAAAAAAACCTCAAAAACCTATTCCAGCGCTTAAATAAGGTGGTAAAATGTTGAACACAAATTCGGAAAAAGTGTAGAAATTTGCTAAGCAATTCGAGAGTTCCCATAATTTCAGTTTGGGTCTTACTAGTCCTTTTGAGAGTCAGGTTGTTTGGGATTATCTGAATATTTTCACTCGGAAAAATATTTTTGACAATTCCTGGGGGACTGATTTAGACGAATTAAGGTCTATAGCTAAAAAGTTTCAAAATATGAAAGCCCAGGTTATGATGAAATATACTATGTACTCATTAAAAAAAACTCCCAGATAGTACCTTGTATTTCTTGGTAAAATTATATATTGAGCAGATGTTTCCATATGGCCTACTTTCCTGATAAGGGGCTTACCTTAGCTCAGTCGGTAAAGGCGCAGCTACAAAGCAAGACCATGCTGGAGGTGGCTGGGTTCGATTCCCGGTCCGGTCTAGTAATTTTTCGGGTTGGAAAATTTCTCGACTTCCCTGGGCATAGAAGTATGATTGGACTTGCTTGCCACACAATCATTTCAATGCAAAAATGGTACAGAATGGCATCGAAAGCTTTCAATTAATAACTGTGGAAGTGCATCTAGAACACTAAGTTGAGAGCACGCAATAAGCTAATATGCGATATACAATAAGCTTGAAATGCGAAGAAGAAGAAGAAGAAGAAGAAGAAGAAGAAGAAGAAGAAGAAGAAGAAGAAGAAGAAGAAGAAGAAGATACTTTCCTGATAAATAGAAA